GACTATCCAATCCATCTCCACTTTCTCCTGCATATTTGTTGGACGATTGGTTCTTGTTTAGTTTGTTCACATAGTTTCTTGTTGGTGATTCTTTCCGGCTAGACCATCTGATCTTCAGTATAGAGCCAGCGAAGAGAGTTGTTGATAAAGATATGCAACAGGCTGATGGAAATATTCTCTGTGTGCCGCCCGCCAAGTTTCTGATCCATATAGAAGAACTGACTTGACGTTTGTATTGATGATTCGAATATTGTTGTTGACGCTGAGTGACAAAGATTTCCAGATTGGTTTCAGGTTGATGAGTGAATGTGTTTCTCGCCTTCCTGATTCTGGATTTGACACCCTCGTCCGTTCCGAATGGCTGTGGTTGAGACAATGCTCCCTAGATCAGTGAGTGAATGAAGTAACCTCTTTCAAATCCCTCCCGTTGATGGTGATTGGCGTTGGATTTTGCTGCTATTGTTGTTGTTGGTTAGTTCTTTTCATCACCTCCGTCTTATCTATGTTCACCTGGAGTCCTGTCTTCGCCGGCTGCTTCTTCGACCAATTTGTCGGTTTTCACTTGTAAGTCTTCGATTTTGTGTGACATCAAGCATAAATCATCCACGCGCAAAATCCAGATCTTCTAGGTTCTTCACGTTGGTCCATAATATCCTTGTCTTCTCGTTTCCCACTCACTGTCTGACGCATAATCCAGCCAGTCCACCACAATTAGAAATATCATTGGTGATAATAAGCACACTTGTCTGACTCCTGTGTTCACTTCAAGCGCCTCACTGAGTTTTCCGTTGTGGATCACTTGACATGTGCCGTTGTCGCACAGCTGTTGAATTAGGTTGATGAATGATGCGTAAACAATGCGGCTTACTAATAAGCGACGGGTGGTGGGAGGTGTTGAGAGGGAAATAGGGACAATACGACAGAAGTGAAAGTGCAACAGCAATGGAAACGATATATTAGACAGTAGCGATAAGCGGTGGTAATCATGAACAAGAGGAATGAAGCTGTTGCATTCCTAAGAATATAATATGTGTCTGGCGGAATAGTTGACTGGAAAACCCCTCCTCAACGACCTTATTGCAAGATTTTCACTTATTTAGGTGTTTTAATTAACTACGTAATTATTATCCTCTATTTTCCTTCTATTTTCTAAAGTTTGCTTATTATATGTTTATTTGATCTTTGTTATTTCTTTTGGTCACCATTTTTAATGTCTAATTGCCACAGTGATGATGTGTTGTTTTACAAAGATGTGAGTGTGTCTGAGCCATGAATCAAGGAGATTCTGACACTAGACTGCTGTATGCAGCGGGGATTATCGGTGTGTGTGATTCATGTGGACAGACGTTTGATCCCATCATGTTGGGAATATTCTACAATATTTTAAGTACTTGTTTTGTGGATAAAGCCTTCTGTTGACTGTATAGATTCTCAATGCCGCCGTTGAGGTAATCCTTAGTCTTTGGTTTTATTATTTCTGAAAAGAACCACACATTATATACATAAATTCCAATCACAAACAATCATCTGTTTGTTGTCTCTGGAGAGATTTCGTCATATATGGTGCGGTAGACAGATACCTCTTCCCTGTGTTTCACCATGTCCTTATGCTAATTATTATTATAAGCTGACATCAGTTAGAGAACCATTGGAAAATCCCCTGGGAGTACTGGGCAGCTGTTTCGTCAGCCTGGTTTGGGATTCTTCACCAGAATGCACTCGCCGTGAGGGTTCGAACCCAGGACCTTCTGGTTACAAGTTGAGGTCGTATACCATTAAGCCACTGTGACCTAACTGATCCAACGGCCAGCCCGTGAAGTCTAACTTCTGCTGATTCATGACATAGCGCGAACACTTTGCAATGTCTTCTTCAATGCGTCACTGCCTCACCTTCAACCTGCTGCACCCTACTAGTCACGGCTTCCCACTAGAACCTCAGGTCGCTGTCTGAATAGGGCCAGTCACTAGTGAGCATCAAACTGATTTGCAAGCATTGGCCGCACTATGCCATGACTTGGCAGATGTCAGAAATCATAGGCTGGCCATTGGATCGGATCTACACGTATGCTGTACATGCAAAACTGTAAGTACGCAAACGCGTACATACGTATACACATACATGTCCACATATAACACATGTATATGCACAAACCTATGCATATAATAATATATAACACATGCTCATATATATATATATATATATATATATATATATATATATATATATATATATATATATATATAAGGATGTATGTGAACAACATATATACACACATATATACGCATCATATGAACCACAATCAGGCACATGGGCACAAATGCTTATGTAGACCGTAGTCCAGTAATTAGGGAAATGAATGAGGGTCAAGTCCTCAAATCATTGCGTCAAGCAGGGATAGGACTGAATGTCTCGCAGTGTGATAGCTGCTCGAGCACTTTCATCTCCCTGAAACAAAACATGAAGTCGTCTACAAATGATTTGGTATCCTCAGGCTAATACCACAATTAGATATCGTGTTGACCCCTACACCCCGAAACTCGGAGCATAGTTCATGCTCATCGCTCTGGCGTAACACCAGACCTAATGGGCCTAGCCGAACACATGGTCCAGTCCAGACACCAAAAGGAAAACGTAAGCTTGCCCAGCCACATGTGGCATACGGAATGTACCGTTGCATATATGGACGGAATTCAGACTTAGAGGCGTTTAGTCTGGTTGAGTGGTCTACGAGCTCGCTGACCTTGTAACCAGAAGGTCCTGGATTAGAACCCCGTCGGTGAGTGCGTACCGATAAAGAGTTTTGAAGTGGGACGAAACATGTGTCCAGTACCCTCAGGCGGTTTTCCAATGGTTCTCTAACTAATGTCAGCTCATGTTCCGAATCTTCTGCACTCAAAATAAAGAAAAATACTCGGATTTTCAGCACTAGTTTTAAGTCAGTCAGTAAGGTCTTCTATATGGGTAGGGAAATTGGTGCTGAAATCACGAAAAGCATTTTTAACAGACCACTGCAGATGTTTATCATCAGTTGGACCCATCACTGACTCCATACCAAAGACCAGATGGTCACTCAGAAAGAATTATGAACAAGAAACTCTGCAAATTGACTAATAAGCAAGAACCTGCTGCCGATGAAATATGTGAGGGGAAGTGGAGACTGATTCGATACGCGCCCAGGACACCGTCGAATGATACCTTGCTCCAGACCATCCCTGTAGAGGAATCTCAGTGGGAAACGGTGAGTTGGGTGTATGTCTTTGGGGACATGGAGGAAATGAGAGAATATGAGCAGTCATGGGGCCGGTAAAAGTGAACCACAGAGAATAAGACGTAGCTCTGTGTTCCGATGTGAACTAACGGGAATAATAATAGTTAATGAATCAGACATTATACCTACTCATTACTGACTAAAGGAGGTAAAGACAGTTTGGCGATCAATTCAATATACATACTTGTTTCTATTTGATGAAAGTAAGTTGTTTAGAGAGAATACTTGCACGTTTAGTTGCATTTCACACAACGAAGTGAGCGTGGAGAACCAGCTTCCGGGTTAACCGCTTGAAAAACCAGTCTATTCGTGAAAATGTCTAGACCTCTTTGATTCATTCAAATATGGCTATTTTCAGGGTAGAAGGTGACAGCTATACAAAACTCATTCACTGCGACATCTTATCCAGATAGTCGCTAGTAATATTGGCTGTCAATGGCATTCCTTTGTCGTTAATTTGCGAAAGATATGATTTATAGGCCGTTGGATTCCTTCTCTGCCGCTGAACGATATGGTATACGAGGCAACAGTCTGAGACAGACCTGGGGGCTACACTCGATCATCCACGTATAACATTGTGTATGAACATGGACAACAGAGGTGCCCAAAATGAGATGGTACTAACTTAGGCAATTAAATTTAACAGTAGTATGTGTCATTTCGGTTAAAATCTTCCAATCAAACCGATTTATAATGGATATTAATGTCCATCTGATCAATGAATCACTTGTTCAGAAGCTGTATTTTGCCTTTTTTTTTAATGAAAACTATATTGTACTTAGTATACAATTGGTGGATGGTGGCTAGCAGTGGAATCCAGGATAACGCGCATTTCGTCCTATTTGGGACTCGTCAGCTGGATGTACCCGCATTTCTCAGTGAGTGATGATGCTCCCACTGAGGCTCGAACCCAGTGTCCATAGTTTCAAACGCGAAAGTGTGATTCACCAGACCACTTGGGCCACGAGAGCCATCTCTTGTGCAACGGGTCATATTACTTATTGAATTGAATTTTTGATTTTCCCAAGTGGTCTAGTGGATAACGCTTTGGCGTTTGAAACTATGGGCACTGGGTTCGAGCCTCAGTGGGAACATCACCACTCACTGAGAAATGCGGGTACATGCAGCTGGATTCCACTGCTAGCCGCCATCCACCAATTGTATACTAATTGAATACCCAGACATCGTCGAAGCATCTGCACAAGAAGCCAACATGTCAACCTGAGACCGAGCACTTCGGTCCAATCAATCGACGGGAAAATCAAAAATTCAATTCAATAATATATTGTACTTATTTCACTTTCTCATATCTTGGACAGTAATGTACTTTAAGTGAAATTAGAAGGCTAGATGTTGATTTTAACCAAATAAGGCCAAAAATTTGATGCCCATTCATCATAGCCTTGAAAGCAGACTTAAAGACAAGATTCACTCACGTGGTTATCTGTCTGTTTAGGTGTTTTTTTTTTCTGTTTGCTTGTTACATAATACAATCAACTAAGCTTAGTTGTTCTTAGGTCAAGTAAATAATGTTACCTTTCTATTCCTCATAGCAGCCAAATTATATCTGTCTTTCTATCTATCTATCTATCCATCCATCCATCTATGTATACAACCTGGAATATACAGAATGAAAGATGTTATCTCAATGTCTAATCAAAAAGCCTAGTTGTGTTATATACCATACCATCTAAGGTCAAATATTATAATCTAAATTACATTCATACTTACTTTTGTATGAATGCAAATTTTAAGGTTGATGTGTAGACATTGAATCATTGAACAATGTGTGCGTGAATGCACACGTGTGGGTGTGTGAGTGAATGAGTGAAGAGAATTGTTATTTTAACCCTGTCAAGAAAAAGATAATTAAATTATTTACACTCTTGTTGTATTTATCTGATATTCGTAATCTATAAAAAAAACAACTAAGCAGAAAACTAGCTGACTAACTAACTTACTAACTATTCAATGTTCAATAATACTGTACCGCAGCCAGTGGGCGGGTAATTTGAATTTAAAATCTACACTCTACTCTACTACTTGATCAATAGATAATAAATAAGAAATAAAAAAAAAGTATGAAAATGATGTGATGCGATGTGATGATTCGACAATTTTAGTCTGACTAAGGAAATTGATGATTAAGCCTACATTAAAATTGTTGTTGTTGATGTTTTCATTCTTTTTTCTAATTTTTGATCTTATTGATAAGTAGAAATTTCTGACAGTTGAATACAATTCACATATCTTAGGAGTAACCATTATTATTATTATTAGTAGTAGTAGTAGTCCTATGAGTAGCAGTTGTAGCTCTAATCTGAATAGAAATCAAGCAAAATGGGAATAGATACCAGGCTAGGATGCATTAAAAGATTAAGGAAGATGCAAGTAAATAAATAAATAAACAAACAGAATAACGAAATCATTCAAAACAAGAAAAATGGGGAGTGTTTTATTTCACACACACACACACACACACCACGGATGCCTTCTTGTCTGTTAGTGGAGGGTGGGCAAGGTATACAGACTAATGATGATACATTTTTGTTACTGTTCAGGAAGTAAGTAGGTATCTGCAGTGTATTTGATCTTATCTATCTCATCATACCGTCTGTCTAAATTAATTATTAGTTTTTGGGTATATACTACTTATTTACTTATTATCAGTAAACATTAGTGAAACAAAACTACACTAACAGAGGAACACTTATTTCTAACGATGGAAGAAACTATCTGGATAGGAACGCTATAATATGTCGATTCAGTGAAGTAGAACATTGAGTGATCACATCTCAGAGTAAAATTGGCTTTTGTAATGGTCCGACTCATTAAGAGGAGACCAGATAGCAGCATAAAAAGGAACTTGTATAAGAAAAGTGCTTGAATCAGTCAATTTACAAACTTTCACAGCTTTAACCCTCAGCTATAAGGCGATCAGAGCTATTTGTTTAAGAGATACGGCTGAAGAAGTACTTAAAGTTGTATACGACGGCTACCCTGAAACGTTCATCACTGAAAATAAGGACGAGGAAGAAGAACAGGATTCCTCCGTATCTGTTAACCAGAAGCCTATATGTATGTTGAGAAAATCGATTCGAAGAGCAGTTAGTTTCGGAAAGCTGCAACTTACATTTCCCCTACAACCGATTGCAATTCCTCAAACTGAAAGATCAAGTATTTGGACTTCTCATCTCTAATTGTATCCACCATTTCAACTGATTCAATGAAGCTACTCTGAGAACCTAATTTTTCGTGTGTGGGAACAGCTAACAGTGTGGTTAAAACCATTAACAACTCCATACTAGACTACCTCCTGAAAACAGATCACAAGGCCAGCATCGAACAATCTGTCTTCATCATCTACAAGGTGTCAAATAAATTACCAAAAGCCTTTAGATACTGAACACTCCACACAGCAGATGAGATCGCAATTCTCTGAATTCAGCGGAAACTCTGTGTGCCGAAGAAATGGTTCCAGCCACTTTTTCTCCCCTGACCTTCTGCTCAACCTATATATATTAATGAATTCTGTGTTCCTCCCCTTATCTCATATTACCTCCCTCTTATTGATGCTTTCGAAATGTACTTACCTGTCGATACTACTGATTCAATGTAACTTTAAACAGCATTTAATGTTTTTAATAACAATAATTCTTCAGCCGTTACCATCATAAAAATGTAGAACCTGAAGACGAATTTATCAGAAGGAATACTGTTTTTTGATTGATCAGTGTCTTGCATTTTCACGGGCATCTTCAGTCGATTCTATTCGGGAAAGATTCTCATTACCACCGGTAGGAGTTTATACAGTGGTATATTCAACTACAATTCAATAAACATCAGTTGCTTGAAGAATTAACTTCTTGTTACTTTAATGTTACTTGGTTAGCGGTAAGTGTCACAGTGGTGCACTCTAGAATGCTCATTTTGTTCTGTTGAAGTGCTCATCAACTTGATGTGCCTGTATTCTGAGTAGACGAGACCCAGGCCCGACATTCATAATTTTAAATCACAAAGTCATATCCACCGGCCTACTGAGGCATAAGAACCACAGGTTATGCAACAGATAGCGAATATTATATACCTAAGTTATTTTGAATTCCCTCTTCACACTGATTGCATCGGAACAAACTGTACGATCTCCGTTGACATGCCTTCTTATTTTATTAAATCTAAAGATAAGTAGTGCACTCGGAATTTCTCCAAAGATTGTTTTATCAATTAAGAAGGAAGTATTCTGTATTCGGTCTTGGAACACACACTGACACAGTTATCGTTGGATCAATAAGAAGACGTTCTGTTTCAATGTGAATTTCTCCACAAACCAAGGAGAAGTAGTGGACATTCGTTTCGTCTAAGTTTGAGACTTCTTAGCCAGATTCACCCATGACCTCAATGATATCCGAACGTAGGACCTTCAAGTTGCAAGATCAGTTCATTGATAATTCCACACGCTGAACTGGGATTCGATGAGTCTGAATTTTTCTGTTTAATTGAGATTTAGCGCATGACAAGAAAAAGTGCCCTATTTGATAGGCAAATAAGCATTAGGCGAGTTATACTCACCCTGAGCAATACTCAGGTTGTTTATAAAGTATTTAAAACAGACTGGTTAAACAGATGAATGTTTTGTGTAAACTAGCCGTGTTCATTAGTGAATTGAATCATACGAATTCCATCTAAGCGTATATCTAACATTAGATTTCATAGACGACGTGCAATACCTACTAGAATTTGTAGACATATCTAAAATGCCCTTCATTAGAAGGGGGGAGAGGAGGAAATGAATTCCACCCAAATTTTGCTTTTGTATTCCGATAAATTCAGTTAACCATTCAGTCGACAACAAGCCACAGCTATTCTATGATGGGAACATTATATATATAGTTTTAAGGTCAAGCACACTTGTACTCAATGACCGTAAGTGGAAACAATGATGAAGTATATATTCAATAAGTAATCAAAGGCAGCTAATTCTTAGAAAGAGACGTTGAAGAAGAACAAGAACAAGAAGAAGGAGAATGGAGTAGAATACCGAAAAGAAAATGGATCTATAATTAAATTTATTGAATTAACCGGAAATTGTGTCAAGTAGAGGAAGAAATAGTGCCACTTGAACTTATGTTTACTTCTGCATGGTTGATATTCAAACATTAAGTGCTGGAGTAGATTTTTTTTTTACTGTTTTGACCTAGAAAAGAAATTATGGTTGGAGGAGGATAGTTGGATAGGGGAGGATAAGGATTCAATTTATTCAGTGGTAGGCTCAAGTATTCACCTGACTAAGGTGAGTGAATAGTTTTCGGTGGTCAGCTTGAATTCTATTTATTATTATATATATATTGTAGTAGCATGGGGAAAAGAGAGAGAGATCTACTGTGAAGATATAAATTCTACTGAGTGAACGAGGCTCCTTGATTCGAACCCTGGTGGTGAGTGCCTACCTGTAATGAGTCCTAAACCAGTGGGGTAAAACCTTTGTTCAGTATTCCCTGTTACAGAACGAAGATGACTAGAGTTCCAGTGAGAGATCTTAATCAGTGGGGTCAGCTGTAACAGATCGGAAGTGACGACAAATACTCACATAGGTGACATTGGCTGGTGCCTCCAGTAGCGCTAAAATGACGGAATGGTGGAGATCAAGATTGATGAGTTGAGCATTGATTTGGGTCAGAATCCGGGTTCAAATCCACAACCTTGTAGTTACAAGGTTAGCAAGACTTGTAGACGATTCCCGCCACTGGAACCCAAAGTAATGGCCAGTATAATAACAATGATAATGACAATTTTATGATTTTTATGAATTTGTGATTCTCGAAAAGATTTTGAAAAACATTGGCTAACTTCGGAAATTCATTAAAAAACACGGAAGATGTAAAGGTTCAAACATCAAATACAATACAGTGAGAAGAAAGCCTCTCTTCATTCAACTCGATTTTAAAGGTGAAAATATTGCAGCAATGGTCAACAGAAGACTGGGTACGTCACTAGCCCAGAGCCTATCCTGAAGCTTAGTTGGTTCCCGTCCATCGAACAACATACTCTTCGGTGATGTCAAAAACTGACAAATATCCTTCTCATGTTAACTCCAACTGTATATACGAATACACGTGTATACGAGCAGTTACACTGGCAGAACAGAAAGAAGGGCATACCCCCAATTTTCTGAACATGTACCGAATATCCTACGTTTCAAGAGAGCAAATACTTACAATTGTGCCATCAACAGACATCTCCTTGATATAAGGCATAATAGACAAAAAAGCTCAATTCTCTTAAAGTTTACAGAAGCAATCTCTATCTAGTGTCTGAAACCTGATTTGTGTATTCAGAAAAAAGTAGTTATTAGTCTTCCCTTGCCCTCCTGGATGCTTAAGTGTCCCCTCCAGTTGAATGCGAAATCTTTGGCTTTATCCTCACCCCCCTTTCCGCCTTCGGTTTGGTGCAATTTTGATTGTCTCTTGTTTCTATGATTTGAGTCGAAGTCAGTAGATTGTTACCGAATTTATTAGTCACTCAGCATCTTATGTGCCTCTCATCTTTGTTACGTAACTCCTTTACCACTGCATGCATCGATTTACTTTGTTCAAACTGGAACTCCATGTACAAAAACCATATAAGCTTTATTTTCTGAGTGCTGTTCATTGATTGAAGGACCCCTCCTGTCAACTGACATCATGTCAAAATTCCAAGCATGTTAAAACTTTTCTGTACATGAACCTAATAATAATTTATTTAGGCTATAAACAGCAACAACCGATGAGAAGCCAACGAAATAAACACTGATGATGATACTACCATCGTCTTATTCTGCCCAGACATTGTTGAAGCATCTACACAAGAAGCCG